CACTCGATAAGAAATATATACACATCTGCATAACTAAATGTTTCGCATGTGTAAGCCCCCATGGGTTGACCAAAAACCTAATATCGAATCGATTAAGAACCGAAATCTTCTGGGTGGCAAATATACTTGCAGATTGTTGGATTGATGGTTTCTATGGAATGGTTTAAGATATAGATTAATGTAGTATGCTACGATCAAAGTTCCGAAATTAAGCTTGCAGATGTAACCATAAGAAATATACGAATCAGTTTGAAAGTAATGATAGTACCTACTATACTTCTTAGGGAAAGGTATCTGCATATCATTTTGGGCTTAGAAGAATCACTACTTCTATACTCAAAATCTTAATTTACTTTCACAAAATAGACTTGTCTAAATCCTTTTCAGATTAAAATTCTTTGTTATATTATATATCCAACACTTAACCTAGACTTTCTAATTCTAATAAATTTGACTGAAATGTATAGTATTGTAGGATCTGAAATTCTCAAAATTGATGATGATTTATTTAGAAAATAAAACTAAATCCGATACGTGTATGTTCCATTCAAGTCTATTCCCTTCCATTAAAGTGATAACAACTTAGGAACTCGGACTTATAAAATATATGAAGTAATTAATGGAATTATCAACATCTTTTGCTGAACCTGGAATTTCAAAAATGGAAGAATTGCAAAAAGTCTTTCGGATCTATAGCCCCGTAACTCCCGCACCCTGACTCTTCTTTTCTTAATCAAGTAGTGCATATTCCCCATTCTGCCCTCTCTTTTCCACCCACCCACACAAACTCTCCCTCTCTCTGTCTAATCTTCTGATATTGTCTTAACCCACCGCAACAATGAAACGGAAAACAGAAAAACCAGGCGACCAAAACACAAGTGGCCAGAAGAAAACATTGGGAAGAAAGCGGAAGAAGGGGGGGGATAGAAGAGAGTCTTCTACCAGCAAGTAGAAGAAAACAAGAAGAGCTAGAAAAAAAGGCCAAAGCATGACTGAAAGAAAAGTAAACTTATTTTCATTTTCAAATGAAAGGGAAATTCTCACCTAGACAGGGGGAAAGAAAGAGAGGTGAGATGTGTGTGGAGCGCCAAGAGAAAGAGACGGCGAGTTGGCGTTAGAAAGAGAGCAAAGCATAATACATAATACGGGAAAAACGCTCGCGAAATAGGAGAAAAAAAAACAAGAGTTTTGAAACGAACCGCAGATCTAGCTCTTCGTACTCCCCGTCATCTTCTCCTCTTCGCCAAAATGGGTCTTAATCTTGTTTTTTACACAAACCCGCCGAAGAAAGAGGGGCCCAGAGAGCGGTGAAGAGAGGTAGATTGTCTTGAAGTGGTTTTTCGAACACGTTTCAAAGGAAAAAACGACGTCTTTCCCCGTCTTAGCCCCCCCCTTTCCACCCCATTTTATCACCCATTACTCACGCCACACATCGGGTTTATGCGAACCCCTCTTTGCGAAATCAGTTCACGAATCGGAGTCATAACTTGACCATGAATTCAACGTCGTCGTCCCCAAAACAGCTGTGCAAAATTAAACACAACTAATTGACACACAAATAATCGTAAAAAAAGAAACGTCGTGTTTGAAGGTTATCTTTGGGTTTTTCGTTGCGGAAGTGAGATTTCTTCACTGATACCGATTTTCACTTTGGAACAGAGTTCGAGTTGCCAACGGGGTATTTGGGTTGTGTTCCAGTTTCATTTTCGATTTGAAGGATTCGATAATTCGACTTTTTAAAAGACTGAAATAGAATTGCTCTTCAACTGAAGTTATTATCTTATAAGGAGGCATTTAAGAACCTCTTTATCTTATAGGATGTTTGGTCATATGAAATTCTACTGTATTTTTAAACAATAGATAATAATATTTTAAATCTTTGTACAAGATACAATTGATGTGTATGTAAATATTCAAAATACTTTTTATAATAACTATATAGATCGCATTATAATCAAGGATCAACATAGTTATTATAAGAAGCAATAGAAATACTTACATTCATATCAATTGTATCCTATACAATGATACCAATTAATGGGTTATAAAAAGATAATATATAATCAGGTCCGTTTTTTGGTGTGTAAAACTTTAAGATAACTTACTTTTTACCCTTGCATAATACATATGAGTAATTATTTTCAAGGGTGGCCTTTGCTGAAATCTTTTTATTGGCTTTTCAAATGAAGAAATCGTAAATTACCAGGCATAAACTTGGATCTTATTTATGGTACTTGGTGCAAGCCAAAGCCAAAGGCAAAAAGCAAAATCAAAATCAAAATCAAAAGCTTGAGCAGGAGGCAGCAACCGTATCCGCAGTCGCAGTCGCAGAGATGCCGTAAGCGTTGAAGTTGGTCAAAAAAAAAAAAAGAGAAAAAAAAGTAAAACAGCGCCAAAGGTTTGCTAAACTTGTTGCGCTTGCTCGTTAATGTTTTTATTTTTTTTGTTCATGTTTTTTCTTCCTTTTTCTGCTGTCTGCGCAGAGTTACAGACTGAAATTGAAACTGAAACTGGGAAACTGAGAAACAGGGTTGCCAGGTGCTCGTCAATGTCAGCTGACTAATTGACGATCCAATGCAGGAAGTTCCGTTTCTGTTTTTTTTAACGAGAGGAAAAACCAGTGATGGAATTTATAACTGGTTATTTCTTTGAAATATACAAAATCTTGGTACAATAGATCCTTAATAATTGTACCTTTAAAGTTTTAAATGAGTTTTCATTACTAACATTATTAAGAATCTTTATAATTATATTACTAAATCTTAATGTATTTGTTTACGGAAGTTTGCTTTGATATATTTTCATAAGAGAAATTACATAACCCATTTGTACCTAAGGGTACTACAAAAAATAGGTACATTCGTTACTACCTAAAACATTAATTGATCTTATTTAGTTTTCAGTACAGAACGTAATATATTTCATTTAACAGCTTTGTAGAACACATTCAATTTCCTTTAAAAAGACGTTGTAATTTTACCACTCCTAGTTGTTGTCCCTAACCTTGTACCCAAGCAGAAATGTGGTACTTACCCTTCAATGCCAATGCCAATGGTGAAATAAAAGTGAAACAGAACTGAAATCCAGACAACACGATGCCAAATGGGACGAGAGATAAGATAAGCGATCGACGACAAGAACATCGGGTATATAGCGCTTCTAAACTGATTGGGCAGGCAAATTAATTAATTGAACATTTAAATTGTTTTGTTTCGTTTCGTTTGGGGCCCGCTCAGCCTGTTCTGGAATTACTCATGAAATATCAAGGAATGTGCTGTGTGGTTGTTGAAATCGGGGCAAAGATAACCTAAATGAAGTGCATGGCGTTCATATATAAATATTTATTTGTTATGTGCCTCATCTGATGTCTGGCTGGCTTTTTATGTGTCTTGACATCCATCCCCCCTCCCCCACACCCCATTCAAAAACCCAATCTCTAGAGATAACGACGCTCTAAGTGGGCTATATCGTTCTGTAATCTCATGCTGGCTTGGCTCTCTATTAATGTACATATATGTAGTTGAACATCTGCAGGTCCCCAGCTCAAATCTAAATCCTGTGATTTGTGGTCAATAAAGTTTATAATTCCCGCTCTAGTAAACAACGTTGTGCTTCTTTTTTTTTATATTATAAACCTTTGGAATGCCCCCTAATGTCAATTGAAATTAAATCTTTCGTTTTTTATAATTATACTTCTACTACTACTTTATTTAATTAATGAAAAAATGAAATCGTTCATAGAGCCAATGGGAATTTGTCATAAGTATGTGGTATACTTATTACTTATCACTTTAAACATTGAACAATGTTAAAGTGATATTGAAAAAACTAAAGCGTTTTATTAGATTCTTAAACTTTTGTGCATTTCTTAAACCTTTTTTTTACTTTTAATTCTTTTTCTTTTTGGGAATACCCTGGCAACCCTGGCTCTTAGTAGGTGCGCATGCGCCACCGCCTCGTGCTTTCCCTCTCCCACTTCCCTGGCATCGCCACACACCCTCAATATCTCCCTTTCGTTCCCACTTGTTGAGCAAGCCAACCAGTTTTTCGTCTGCGGAGAGTGGCAAATTGAGTTGGGTTGTTGGAAAGAGGAGGGGTCTTATAAGCCATAAGAGGGGGCTTACGAAGGGGTTTTTGGAAGGGGGGGGGGGGGGGGGGTGCTGAGGCGGTTGATTACCGACTGGTTGGGGGCCCCAAAATCTCTTGTTGTTGTCTTTTTCGTAGCTCCGGCTTTTGAGCTTCGGTCTCTTGAGCTTCAGCTTTTCTGTTTTTCTGCTTTTCTGCTTTTCTGCCTGCCTCTCGTGTTGTTGGCTTGAACTTGAGCTCTATACATATGTAATTGGTAGTGGTTGTTGTTAGTTTTGGCCACGCTTGATGGAGTGGGCTAAGTGCTGAGTCTGTGAGTGTGTGTGTGTTAACTGGTTGCATAACATGTTACAGCATCGCACGAAAATGAACAGGCCAAGTCGGACGTTGCGTTCCCAAAAAAGTAAAAAAAAAAAAACAGAAAAAAAAGAAACAAAACCGAAACTGATGACGACATGAAAGAGTGGTAAAAAAAAAAAAAGAGGGGCAAGTGGAGTGGCTTAAAGCGGCTAAAAAAGAGAGGTAGCTGGTTTTTCTTGGCGCTTGTTTAATGTCTGGAAAATTATAACATTTTTGTGTGCCTTTTGCAATATTTTTCTCAGTCGTCTAGCCCTCTCCTGTGTGTTTGTGTGTGTGCGTGTTTGTGTGTGTTGCCTGGGTTTTTTCAGTTTTTTCTGTTTTTGCTTATAGGTCAAGTTAAAAGTAAAAGTGAGCTTGGCTTTTGGCTTTGTGCTGCTTTTGCTTTTTGCCTTTGTTTTCGGCGTCCTCTCTTTTATTTTTATTTTATTTTATACTTCTGTTTTTTTTTTTTTTTTTATTGTGGATATTTGCGAAATGTTCGCTCGTTACGTATTACGTATACGCCCGAGAGTCACAGAAATTGATTTTTGGTTTCTCGCCTTTTGCATTCACAGGTGGCCAGCGAACGTGATCGCGATCTTCTCCAGCAGCAACTGCAGGATCTCGTCCTGGACAACAGCAGCAACATGGAGCAGCACCAGCAGCAGCAGCCACATCGCCTCCATGGCGCCCTCACACGCACCATTTCACAGCCGGCCCAGCAGAGGCACCAGCTCATCCAGCAGCAGCAACAGCAGCAGCAGCAGCAACAGCAACAGCAGCAACAGCAACCGGTGGCCAGTCTGGTGACCATCATCGAGAACCTGGGCAACATGAACCTGCACCGAAAGCTGGAGCGGACGCAGTCGGAGCCACTGCCACAGCAGCCGATGAACACATCCAGGTAAGGGAACACCTTTCAAAAGGGGCACCATTCAAAGGGAACAACTCTTAAGGGAAAGGATAAAGGTTGTCAGTCAACAAGGAACAGGAAACCAAAGCGCATCTCTATCTTAATTGAAGTTTCTATACATATATGCAGTTAAATTTGACCGTAGATCATCTGTTTTAGGTATTTGTGAACATAAATTCCACTAAAACTAATATTATCAAGGGATTTATTGATCTTTAATCAACCATAGAGAATCGTTTTAGAAATAAATCAATATTTCAGTAAACCAACTGCTTGAAATCCATGATAACAAGCCCAACATTACTGTGGATCTAGGAATAATCAACCAATCTTTATTCAAGCTCAGGGAATATCTTTGTAGAAAAGTTTAAATCGTTTACTAACTGCCAAAAATTGCTATACTTACAGTGATTTCATTCAGATATTTATTTTATTTTATTAAAGCCAAATGATTATCTAAATAAATCTGTTAATCAAGAAGCCAACGGCTTAAAATCCCTAAAACAACGTCAACATTTCTGTGGACTTAGGCCTATTGATTTAGTATTTGTTGTAGCTCAATAAATCCCTTTGTATAGAAGTACAAATAGTTTTTTAACTGCAAAAATGGATGTCAACATATGTGTAAATTTCTTGATCTTTGATTAGGCCAAAGGAATCGTTTAAAAAAAAAAACAATTAATCAGAAAACAAAGTTTTTAAATTCTTTGAAAGCAACCCTTTAGATTTATAGATTTAGGTATATTAATTAACTCTTTAAATCAAAATTAATAATTATATTGATCTTAATTCAATCCAATTTTTATTTGGTATTTTTTTGGTATTTATTTTGTCTTATTTTGTATTACTCGGGAATTACTATAACAATGACTTGTTATTATATTTTAAAAAGAAAACAGTTTAAATTGTCCTTAAAAATGTTAAACAATTTTTGGTATTACTTTAATCGAAATTGATTGTATAACTCAGAAGTTACCACATGAATATTTAGTATTTTATTTTCAAAAGTAAGCAGCTTAAATTGTATTTCAGATTTTTGATATAACCTTAAAGACAATCCCATTATCACGAGAACTTTTACTAACTCCATTTTCCATTTCCAGATACAAGACGGAGCTGTGCCGTCCATTCGAGGAGGCCGGCGAGTGCAAGTACGGCGAGAAGTGCCAGTTCGCCCATGGATACCACGAGCTGCGCAACCTGCAGCGGCATCCCAAGTACAAGACGGAGTACTGCCGCACCTTTCACAGCGTGGGCTTCTGTCCCTACGGACCGCGCTGTCACTTTGTCCACAATGCGGACGAGGCCCGCGCTCAGCAGGCGGCCCAGGCAGCCAAGTCGTCATCCCAATCCCAATCCCAGTCGCAGTCCCAGCAGCAGCAGCAGCAGCAGTCGTCCTCGTCGTCTTCGTCGTCGTCGTCATCATCCCAGAACTTCTCGTCGAAGAGCAATAACTCGAGCAGCAATAATAGCAACAGCAGCAGCGGCAGCAACACCAGCCCGTTCTATCTGCCACTGAGCCCACCGCTCAGCATGAGCACGGGATCCGATCGGGAATCGCCCACTGGATCGCTGTCCCTGAGTCCCACCAACTCGCTGACCAACTTCCCGTTCCACGATGCCCTGCCAATGCCGCCGGGCTACCTGGCCTCCTCCAATGGCGGCACGAGCAACAGTTCCGCCTCGTCCACATCCTCGGCCTCTGGCTTAGGTCTGGGCATGAGCATGGGCCTGGTCATGGGTGGAATGGGTGGTGGTCACCATGGACCGGCCACGCCGCCAGAGAGCCCAAATGTACCCATTTCGCCAGTGCACACACCGCCGCCATACGATGTGGTGGTCAGTGGATCTGGATCGGGATCTGGAGCAAGCAAGCAGCTGCTGCAGAAGAGCGTCAGCACACCGATGCAGCAGGAGGATACCACGCCCAGGCTGCCGGTTTTCAATCGTCTCAGCTCAGCGGTGGAGCCCTACCAGCAGCAGTCCAACTTGGGACTCTAAGGAGGGGAGCAAAAAACAACATCCAATCCAACATCCACTCACGCCCATCAAAGCATCCCTCCATCATCAACAGCCACAACAATAACAGCATCCTTGACAAAATCTCAGTAACGACCAAACCATGGAAACTGGACCAACAAACTCCTCCCGCAATCAAAATCCAAGTCAGAAAATAGATATTCCCCCCGCAAGGCAACTGGATTTCCGGGGCGCCTATATGTGTATATCAAGTATACGCCAAGGAAAAACGCAGGCCACTGCCAAAGGACATAAACACATCCCCTACCCCTAAATTGTGAAACGATCTTTGATATGATTTCTCTCATGCTGTGACAGTCAATCGTTATCGTTTAGTACGAGAAGGACCGAAACGCCAGACTACGGGACGATTAGGTAGTTAGATACGTAAATGACAAACAAACAATCCAAGCAAACGATGATCTTAAACTAAAAACTAAATGCTAAAAACTAAAACTAAAAAAGTAATATAAAATCTAAACGAAACATTCTTACAAACTGGACAAAAAGAAGAAGGAGACGCGAAGAGCGGACGAAACGGACTATTGGGAATCTTCAGCGAATGTTGCTCAAATCAAAATCAAGAAAACGGCCAACGACGAACGTGTGAATATCGTTCCTGCATTTATAGAACCTACAACTACTGCAGAGCACCCATTAGAACCCCAGCACAAACACCTGTCGCTTTTGTTCAATATTTATATATACGCCACGCACTTTGGATGATAAGTCTTATGTAAAAAAAAAAACAGCTCCTGTATATAACCCTGGATGTGGATGGCTAGATGGAGAGAGTACAGAGTTGGTTACATACCATGCGATACCATACCATACCATCCCATCCGATCCGATGTCTTCCAATCCAAGCCAATCAATCAATCAATTCGGAATGAGAATGAGAATGAGATGATAGAAACGGACAGAAACGGAGCTAAGGAAATTCTTTAATTTATTATTTTTTGCTAAATTTATGTAATAGAAAACGTTGTGTACATACGAGAGTTAAAATATTTTGATAAAGCTTATAAATTATATTTAACAATTACATTACGATTACGATTATATGATGATGATCTTGGATGATGATATGAATATTATTGATGATATACCTCTGCAATTCGTGCAACCAATCACAACAACAACAACAACCACAACAACAAACACCAACAACAACCAACGAGCAACAAACAATTTTTCGTTTTGAGAAGTTAATAATGGAATTCTGTCATTGATTTGATGTAGTTTTTTTTTTTGTTTGAATGACTACGATTCTTTGTACTATTTAAATGGATCTATGAAATGGAAATGCTGATTTTTAAACACCATAATTTATTTTCACATCTATTTACATAAAACATACCAGATATATTTTATATGCAATTAATGTTAATAATTTATGAAAACAACACATGCGACACACACACTCAGACAAACACACACCCACACACACATATATATATTTTGACCATTGATAATTTTATGTTTTTTATATGGTATATGCGACAGATCATTTTGTTTATTATATATATTTTATTTTTATTTAATTTATTTTACAAACTTTTTCTTGATTTCTTCTATTTTTGGGTGCAGTTATATAATTTTTAGTGTTATGAGAGAAACCCTTAATTTATATACAACTTATATAAAACCATATTATAATTATGCTTATGTCGATTGATTATTGAAGTACATGCATATGTAATAAAAACGGAAAAACAAAGGAAAAGCCTTAACAAAAAAAGCCTATTTAAAATATTTATGTAGGGAAAACCTATTGTCGATCTTTGTATGTGCCGGAAAAGAGAAAAACAAAAACAAAAACGAATCAGAAAAGTCCGAAAAGCGGATAACAAAACAAAACCAGAAACAAACTGAGTACAGTGTTAGAAAATTAAAATTAAGCATGAAAAAACTGAGCAAAGAAATGCGCAAAACTTAAGAAAAAAAATTGTAAATTATTTTTGTACACACTTTTTGCTAAAAAAACTAAAAAAAAAGAAGTACATATTTAAAAATATGTAACCTGTATGCAGCGACTTTAGTCTACTCCCTATTGAGACACTTTTTTTTTGCGCAAATAATTTATATCGAAAAAATTGCTACAGTGCAATTGAAATCAAACTAAATCAAATATTTAATTACTCCTATTTATTACCTTTTTCACTCGGCGTATTATGTATTTATGTAATGACCAACAGCAGCAACAAATTCAAGCATGACTTAAACAAAAAAAAAAAAAAAACGGCCGAGGAAAGAGCAAATTCCACGCGTGTTTATCAATTTGTGTGCAGCAACGCGCACGAGGGGGGTAAATAATTCTCAAAGTGCCTTATCATTAATATTTTATATAAATTATATATATATATAAATATATACACAAACACAAATTATGTATAGTCTTGTGAAAATGGAAAAGGAAACGCAGAGACGGAGTGCAAAGGCATATTAATTATTTATTATTATTGTAATGTCTATTTTATTTTACTTTCGATTTGATTTTACTCCCACTCCCAAAAGCACTTGTTTTGATCAGAATGGAGAGTTACGGCAGCGTGCAAAGGTTTACTAAAATGCCTATATTTAACATACTTATATTATTATACTGTTTTTTTGCTCTATTTAATTTTAAAGAAAAAAACAAAAACCCTAACTTAAAAACTGAGCTTTGGTTATCATCATGATGATTATTATAATTTTTTTTTAACGCGTTCTTCCCCTTTGTACAACAAACAAAGAAAAACAAAGCAAACACAAATCTGTGCCCCGCATGAAGCAAGTGTGGCCTTATCGGAATAAAACCTTACACTTAACACTTACCCAAGTCGTCTTCCTCCTAAGAAATGATAAATTAGTAAACTAAACTATATGTGGTACTCTTGAATGATTGATAAAAAACAAAGAAGAACAAGAAATGTAATGCCAGTTGAATTATACACTATTTATATATACTTTGTTCGTTATTTATATAACCATAAATCATAATATTTCATAGATATCCGCCTTGGCAACAACAACAAAACGCAAAAACAAAAAGCAACAAAAAAAAAAACAACGAAAAAGACAAAACAATAATTTAGAAATGAACACAATTGTACATGAATTTTGTTAATGCTGAAACATGCCTATTTATGCTTCCATTGCAACACTATTTTGTGCGTATTTTTATATAGTAAATTAAAATGAAAACAATTTAGTTTATGGCAAATTTTAGGTTAAATAGCAATTAAACAAAAACGTTACAAAATAAATGAAAAAATAAACACAATCAGTCTGTCGTTTTCATTTCGAGTATTCAGTATTTTGAGCAGCAAGGTCTCCTCTGCTCCCGATAGCAGGGGTTATCACTAATCTCACTCCTATCCGGACCGTCGGCGTGACGTCGCCTCGTGCCGCTTTTTGGGGTGTTACGTCGGTTCGTCGGGCTTTCTGGACGGGCACTACGAAAAAGCTTTCTTGTTTTGCCTTCTCGCCGCTGGAAACCTCGGATGGATATGGGGATGTGACGCTACTTTAGCACTATGTGTGTTCTGCGATTAGCCACTGATTTTCTTTATCTCGCTAACGACTTCAGAAACTGATACCATACCCTCTGGGTAATATTATAATGTACGATGGTCTGGATTTTGAGTCTACGTACTTCAGATTTTAGAAATGCAGAAACAAATTGAAGATCTGCTTTGATCGATTACTTTCATTTCTTTATCATTTCTTTATATTCCTCCAAGGATTTATCTAAGGTTTCTTGGCGTTGCTACGACTGAAAAACCACTACAAAATGTGTATTTTTGACCAAAATCTGAGTCCCAATAAAAACCGATGTACCCCCTTACAAAAAATGAGAAATTGGGTCAAAAAATAAATCTTCCTTAGAGTGATATGGATCGATAGCATTTGTAGCAAGCTGCTCAAAACATTCGGTCATTTAGCTGTACGCCTGAAAAACCACTAAAAAAAGGAGTATTTTAACCAAAATCTGAATCACATACTTTTCTTTGAAAACAATATACCCTTTACTCTAAGAGAAGTGTATATGCTTCTCCATATATTCAAGAATTAGGTTTACTTATGTATAGTTCCTTAGTAACAACCATGAGATGACAAAACTGACTTTTGATAAGCTAATAAACAGCTAGAGATATTTATTAAGTTGGGAAAATATCACATGTTAGGGGTAGAATAAGATTCCCTTCATAGCCTACTTTTTGTAGATAATTCTAGTACGTGGCTTCTTGACGACCTTGGGAGTGGGTTGTGAAGGACCAGGTCCGGAAGTAGTTGGAGTGGCAGGGGGCGCCACCGGATTGGATGCACTTGCTCCGCCACGTGGCTTCTTGGCGACCGTAGGAGTACGTTGTGAAGGACCAGCTCCGGAAGTGGTTGGAGTGGCAGGAGGTTCCGCCGGATTGGATGAACTTGCTCCGATACGTGGTTTCTTGGCAGCCCTGGGAGTGCGTTGTACAGGAGCAGCTCCGGAAGTAGTTGGAGTGGCAGGAGGCGCCACCGGCTTGGATGAACTTGCTCCGCCACGTGGCGTCTTGGCAGCCCTGGGAGTGCGTTGTACAGGAGCAGCTCCGGAAGTAGTTGGAGTGGCAGGAGGCGCCACCGGCTTGGATGAACTTGCTCCGCCACGTGGCGTCTTGGCAGCCCTGGGAGTGCGTTGTACAGGAGCAGCTCCGGAAGTGGTTGGAGTGGCAGGTGGTTCCACCTGTTTGGATGCACTTGCTCCGATACGTGGCTTCTTGGCGACCGTAGGAGTACGTTGTGAAGGACCAGCTCCGGAAGTGGTTGGAGTGGCAGGAGGTTCCACCGGATTGGATGAACTTGCTCCGCCACGTGGCTTCTTGGCGACTCTGGGAGTGCGTTGTACAGGAACAGCTCCGGAAGTGGTTGGAGTGGCAGGTGGTTCCACCTGTTTGGATGAACTTGCTCGGGTCTTCGGCTTCGGTTTGGCCTGCTCAGCGCCCTTGGGCTTCAGATCGGCCTTCTTGCCCACCTGATCATCGCGAGAGGTGGGCTGCATTGGTCCCTTGCTCGAACCCGGGTCCTGGCTGGCCTCCTTGGCCAGGGGCTTCGACGCCTGCGCGCTCGCCTTCGCACTAGTGCCCGGCTGGTCGGTCTCCATCTCCTTCTCCAGATTCTCGGTACTCTCCTCCGGGATCTTTACCAGTGGGACGGCCCGCTCGGGCTCCGCCATGTGCAGATCCTCGACACTCACGTTGGAACGGTTGGCCATCGTGGCAAAGCGTTGGGCCTCCACCAGTTTGTCCCTTGCCAAAGCTAAAACAAATCACTCACAAACTCTTTGCCTTTCAATCTTTCCCCGAATTTCAACTCACTGTAGGCCAGGTCCAGGATAACGCCACGTGACGACGAATCCGCCTCCAATCCAAGGTCCTTGAGCAGATTGTTCACGAATGCCATATCGGCAGGGAGATCCAAGTTGCGCTCGGGCATCTTGTAATTCGTTTTCTTCGCCATCGTTAAAGAGAATAGGTTTTCCAAGTGCCTTCGGAATATAATGACAAGTGCTTTCAAATGTCATGACAGTTGGCCAAGGCCTACTTGATTGGCCAAAATCGTTTTAGGGTTGCAGGTGGGTTGTTGGAAACTCTAGATTCATGGTATTTTCATGGGGATATGCCCAAAAAACTTTATTTAGTGTGTATGTCAGAACAGCGCACTAAAATTAAATCGTAGAGAGAAATATTCAAGCACATTTGGCTAAACTACGGCTGAAAAACCACTTAAAAATTAGTATTTTTGACCAAATCTGAATCCCAAAAATAACCGATGTATAAAAAATGAGAAATTGGGTCAAAAAATAAATGTTCCTTTAAGTGATAGGGATCGATAGCTTTTTTAGCAAGCTGCTCAAAACAGTCGGTCTTTTAGCTGTACGCCTTGATTTGGCTAGACTACGACTAAAAAACCACTATAAAATACATATTTTTTACCAAAATCTGAATCCCAAGAAAAACAGATTACAAAAAATGAGAAATTGGGTCAAAAAATAAATCTTCCTTAGAGTGAAATGGATCGATAACATTTGTAGAAAGCTGCTCAAAACAGTCGGTCTTTTAGCTGTACGCCTTCATTTGGCTAAACTACGACTGAAAAACCACTAAAAAATACGTATTTTTGACCAAAATCTGAATCCCAAAAAAAACCGTTGCACCTTCTTACAAAAAATGAGAAATTGGGTCAAAAAATAAATCTTCCTTAGAGTGATATGGATCGATAGCATTTGTAGCAAGCTGCTCAAAGCAGTTGGTCTTTTAGCTGTACGCCTTGATTTGGCTAAACTACGACTGAAAAACCACTGAAAAATGAGTATTTTTGACCAAAATCTGAATCCCAAAAATAATCGACCCCCTTGGTCCTTGAGTAAACAGATCCATAAACCCACTTGATTGACTGGGAAATAAACAACAACATTTATTTATTCATCAATTAGCCCCGTTTTACTTTCTAATTCTTCGAACACATAGTGTTTAAATGGGGAATACAAAAATTAGTTTATGTGGCTTTAGGAATTTTCGAAATTTATTTTTTGTGATAAAAAAAACGATTTCTAAACACAACCTACATTAAAAAATTGTAATTTAAAAAATTAATGAAGTAGAGTATTTAATAATGAAGGAAATCATAATATTTAAGCAAATTAAAATTCTATAGTATTTATTTTAACTACACAATCTTGTTTGATCTGTTTTAAAAAACATATTTTTGCTCTGATATAATAAATGTAGTAAGTCCCCAAATTGCATTTTTTATGTATATTATTTACATATATATTAAATTTAATCAAAATATTTTTTTTTAAATTCTGAACATTGATTTTAATATGAATTCCTTTATTAACAACGTAAAATGTCATATTTACTGACTTAAATCGTATTCAATATTTTATACCTTGACTTAAATATCTTTAAATAATATCATGCAATTTATGGAAATATTTATTTTAACAATAATAGTTACTTAAAAATATTTTTTAAATAATGTAAAACGTTTGACTGACAATATTTAATGATTTAAACATTGGTTCATATATTTTGAATAATATCATGCAATTTATGTGTTCATAAATTTTGTAAATATAACATAGACAATTTTTAATTCAATATGCAGATATTTATTTTAACTATTCCATTAATAATAATAGTTAATAATTTGAAATCATACTTCTTGAACGTACTATCATTCTTTATATCAAAATACCAATAGTGTATTCTATTTTCACCCGTATTTTTTTTATTTTCTGTATAATTCTGGTTGTTATCTTCAGTGGAATACAGTTTCGAGGATATATTGTAACTTGTGTTTTGCCTACGTCTACCATTGTGCGGCTTAAAATTTTAGATCACACTATCCATGGAATCGAACAAATGAACTGTCAAAATCATGTAGCCCGGCCCAGGCCGGAATACATTCAGTTTGCCACCAGAGCTCGTCTGGAGCACAACTAGTTTCGGAAACAAACCAAAAATGTAAAAAATTTCAAGTATTTGTGTTATTAGGTGAGAAAAAAAGTAAAAAAAAATTGTTCAAAAAAAGTTTAATATTTTTTTTCTGCTAGAATTAAATTTCTATTTCATTTTGTCTGATGATCTTGGGTGAGTAAAAATCGGCGAAAAACTCATAGAAGAAAGACTAATTTTTTTATTCTTTAGAAGGTCCATAGCTACCGTGGTTTGACTAAACAAGGCTCTGCATGCCCTCTCTCCCTCGCACGCCTGACACACACCATACACACCATACACACCATACACACCATACACACCATACACACCATACACACCATACACACCCAATCACACATACTTGGCCATTGCTTTTCTTGACCGGTAAGCAATGGCATTGCTCTTCGTTTTCGCTGAGTTGACGGCATACAAGTAAGTCCTCTTTTCCTTTTTATTATTTTTTTATTTTTACTAATCAAGGTCCTTTGCTCCCAGAACACATACGATGATGTCTGGTTTCACATAACTTCATGATCTATCTGTTTTCCAATATCCAGTCGAACCGCAAAGGATTCAACATAATGAAGATCACACTCCTAGGCTAGGAATCGCCTTAATAGAGTTATATTTAGGTCAGTTGAGCTAAGTATTTTTGGTATTTTCATATTAATCGAACTCGTTTTCACAGTATTTTTCCCCCACCGATGGTACCGGTTCCGCTGAACCTGAGATTGCATCGGCCATTGGTACTATAAACTATATGTTGGAGACTTAAACCAATTGTTATGAAATGTATATATATGTACCCATTTGTTGAAGAATTAAACCAAAAATATTAAAAAATTTTTACTTATTTGTTCTCTTTGTAAATGGAATTCATAGAAAAGATATTATTAGAAAAGTTTTTGATCTAGGAGAGAGGTTGTATTAATCCCGCACTTCAGGTCTGGGGTCTAAGCCATCGACAAAAACATCGAAGCAGATGAACAAACATTGGCAAACAACAAACGCGGACCAATGCGCAAACTTGTTTATAAAGAAAGGAAGGGGATTTCCAAAAACCGTATCTTGGAATGCTCTAGAATACAGGAAAATATTATCCTAAAATAAAAGAAATAGTATATGGTTTTTTTTTCTATATATATATAAGTTTGCTAATCAAAGCAGAGCTCACTATGTTAAAGGTACGGAGTTCAGATTTCTAGAAAGTATTCCTTACGTTACGTAGGTTCATACTATAAACTCCTGTCAAAAGTAAAAAAAATAAAAAACCTTTATACAACCTATCCAAAAAAGTTGGAAAATAATATGGCAATCATAGGTGCCTTTTGGCAGGGTATGAAAACGTCGAACGAACGAATGTCTTAATGAAATTCTGTGCATATTCCAGCACACGCACGCCCACGACCACGCCCACTCCCCCCCCCCCCCCCCACGACGCTTTTTTCTGCATAACTGTAAGTTCGTCCTGTGCGATTGTCTTCCGTCTCCGTCTGTCTCAGATAGTTTTGTGCGACGGTGAGAGCGAGAGGGGGCGCGAGGGGCGTTCGGAATGCCCATGTCCTGCCGTGTGTCTTCCAACTTTTAATGGCATTCCACTGTCTCGAAACTTTTTGAATAAGCGCAGGATCCTCAGGAATGCCGCCACTCATTTAAGGAATAGGTTAAGGGAAAACAAATGTTAATATCTATTATAAGTTATTGGTGTTAATATACAAAAAGCTGACTGTAATGAAAAATACAATAATCATATCTAGTAGTACCAATTAAAAGAAATAAAAAATGAGAAATTGGGTCAAAAAATATATCTTCCTTAAAGTGACGGGAATCGATAGCTTTTGTAGCAAGCTGCACAAAACATTCGGTCTTTTAGCAGTACGCCTTGATTTGGCTAATCTACGACTGAAAAACCTCTAAAAAAGGAGTATCTTGACCAAAATCTGAATCACATACTTTTCTTTGAATACAATATACCCTCTACTCTAAGAGAAGTGTATATGCTTCTCCATATATTCAAGAATTAGTTATACTTATGTATAGTTCCTTAGTAAGTAAATAGCTAGAGATATTTATTAAGTTGGGAAAATATCACATGTTAGGGGTAGAATAAGATTCCCTTCATAGCCTACTTTTTGTAGATAATTCTGGTACGTGGCTTCTTGACGACCTTGGGAGTGGGTTGTGAAGGACCAGCTCCGGAAGTAGTTGGAGTGGCAGGAGGCATCACCGGTTGAGAAGGACCAGGTCCGGAAGTAGTTGGAGTGGCAGGGGGCGCCACCGGTTGCGAAGGTCCAGGTCCGGAGGTGGTTGGAGTGGCAGGAGGTTCCGCCGGATTGGATGAACTTGCTCCGATACGTGGCTTCTTGGCGACCCTGGGAGTGCGTTGTACAGGAGCAGCTCCGGAAGTGGTTGGAGTGGCAGGAGGCTCCACCGGATTGGATGCACTTGCTCCGATACGTGGCTTCTTGGCGACCCTGGGAGTGCGTTGTACAGGAGCAGCTCCGGAAGTGGTTGGAGTGGCAGGAGGCTCCACCGGATTGGATGAACTTGCTCCGATACGTGGCTTCTTGGCGACCCTGGGAGTGCGTTGTACAGGAGCAGCTCCGGAAGTGGTTGGAGTGGCAGGAGGCTCCACCGGATTGGATGCACTTGCTCCGCCACGTGGCTTCTTGGCGACCCTGGGAGTGCGTTGTACAGGAACAGCTCCGGAAGTGGTTGGAGTGGCAGGAGGCTCCACCGGATTGGATGAACTTGCTCCGATACGTGGCTTCTTGGCGACCCTGGGAGTGCGTTGTACAGGAGCAGCTCCGGAAGTGGTTGGAGTGGCAGGTGGTTCCACCTGTTTGGATGCACTTGCTCCGATACGTGGCTTCTTGGCGACCGTAGGAGTACGTTGTGAAGGACCAGCTCCGGAAGTGGTTGGAGTGGCAGGTGGTTCCACCTGTTTGGATGAACTTGCTCGGGTCTTCGGCTTCGGTTTGGCCTGCTCAGCGCCCTTGGGCTTCAGATCGGCCTTCTTGCCCACCTGATCACCGCGAGAGGTGGGCTGCATTGGTCCCTTGCTCGAACCCGGGTCCTGGCTGGCCTCCTTGGCCAGGGGCTTCGACGCCTGCGGGCTCGCCTTCGCACTAGTCCCCGGCTGGTCGATCTCCATCTCCTTCTCCAGATTCTCGGTACTCTCCTTCGGGACCTTTACCAGCGGGACGGCCCGCTCCGGATCCGCCATGTGCAGATCCTCGACACTCACGTTGGAACGGTTGGCCATCGTGGCAAAGCGTTGGGCCTCCACCAGTTTGTCCCTTGCCAAAGCTAAAACAAATCACTCACAAACTCTTTGCCTTTCAATCTTTCCCCGAATTTCAACTCACTGTAGGCCAGGTCCAGGATAACGCCACGTGATGACGAATCCGCCTCCAATCCAAGGTCCTTGAGCAGATTGTTCACGAATGCCATATCGGCAGGGAGATCCAAGTTGCGCTCGGGCATCTTGTAATTCGTTTTCTTCGCCATCGTTAAAGAGAATAGGTTTTCCAAGTGCATTCGGAATATAATGACAAGTGCTTTCAAATGTCATGACAGTTGGCCAAGGCCTACTTGATTGGCCAAAATCGTTTTAGGGTTGCAGGTAGGTTGTTGGAAACTCTAGATTCATGGTATTTTAATGGGGATATGCCCAAAAAACTTTATTTAGTGTGTATGTCAGAACAGCGCACTAAAATTAAATCGTAGAGAGAAATATTCAAGCACATTTGGCTAAACTACGACTGAAAAACCACTTAAAAACAAGGGAGAACGCTATAGTCGAGTACCTCGACTATCAGATACCCGTTACTCAGCTAAATGGAGATATGCAAGCAGCAAAGCGAGATTAAAATGCGCCACCTACCGGCGGTATACAGATTTAAGCGTTATGGGCGTTAGAGTGGGCGTGGCAAATTTTTTTTTGGATCAATCGATAGGTATTGACGAGACCAATACATTTCAGTTAAAAATTTTTATCTAGCATGAAAATTGTGGGCGTCACAGGGTTTTGTGGTTTGTGGGCGTTAAAGTGGGCGTGGCAAATCGATAGGTATTGATGAGAACATTACATTTCAGTTAAAATTTTCTATCTAGCATCAAAACTGTAGGAGCCACAGTTTTGGGCGGTTTGTGGGCGTTAGAGTGGGCGTGGCAGTCTACTGAAACAAACTTGCGCTGCGTAGGAAGCTCAGGAATCTGCACGCCAAATCTCAATAGCCTAGCTCCCATAGTTTCCGAGATCTCAGCGTTCATCCGGACAGACGGACGGACAGACGGACAGACGGACAGACGGACATGGCTAGATCGACTCGGCTAGTGATCCTGATCAAGAATATATATACTTTATGGGGTCGGAAACGCTTCCTTCTGCCTGTTACATACTTTCCGACGAATCAATTATACCCTTTTACTCTACGAGTAACGGGTATAATTAGAATTTTTGACCAAAATCTGAATCCCAAAAATAACCGATGTACCCCCTTACAAAAAATGAGAAATTGGGTCAAAAAATAAATGTTCCTTAAAGTGATAGGGATCGATAGCATTTGTAGCAAGCTGCTCAAAACAGTCGGTCTTTTAGCTGTACGCCTTCATTTGGGTAAACTACGACTGAAAAACCACAAAAATATGAGTATTTTTGACCAAAATCTGAATCCCAAAAATAACCGATGTACCCCCTTACAAAAAATGAGAAATTGGGTCAAAAAATAAATGTTCCTTAAAGTGATAGGGATCGATAGCTTTTTTTGCAAGCTGCTCAAAACAGTCGGTCTTTTAGCTGTACGCCTTCATTTGGGTAAACTACGACTGAAAAACCACAAAAAAAATTAATATTTTTGACCAAAATCTGAATCCCAAAAATAACCGATGTACCCCCTTACAAAAAATGAGAAATTGGGTCAAAAAATAAATGTTCCTTAGAGTGATAGGGATCGATAGCATTTGTAGCAAGCTGCTCAAAACAGTCGGTCTTTTAGCTGTACGCCTTCATTTGGGTAAACTACGACTGAAAAACCACAAAAATATGAGTATTTTTGACCAAAATCTGAATCCCAAAAATAACCGATGTACCCCCTTACAAAAAATGAGAAATTGGGTCAAAAAATAAATGTTCCTTAAAGTGATAGGGATCGATAGCATTTGTAGAAAGCTGCTCAAAACAGTCGGTCTTTTAGCTGTACGCCTTCATTTGGGTAAACTACGACTGAAAAACCACAAAAAAAATTAATATTTTTGACCAAAATCTGAATCCCAAAAATAACCGATGTACCCCCTTACAAAAAATGAGAAATTGGGTCAAAAAGTAAATCTTCCTTTAAGTGATAGGGATCGATAGCATTTGTAGAAAGCTGCTCAAAACAGTCGGTCTTTTAGCTGTACGCCTTCATTTGGGTAAACTACGACTGAAAAACAAAAAAAAAAAGAGTATTTTTTACCAAAATCTGAATCCCAAAAAAAACCGAAGTACCCCTACAAAAAATGAGAAATTGGGTCAAAAAATAAATGTTCCTTAGAGTGATAGGGATCGATAGCATTTGTAGAAAGCTGCTCAAAACAGTCGGTCTTTTAGCTGTACGCCTTCATTTGGGTAAACTACGACTGAAAAACAAAAAAAAAAAAGAGTATTTTTTACCAAAATCTGAATCCCAAAAATAACCGATGTACCCCCTTACAAAAAATGAGAAATTGGGTCAAAAAATAAATGTTCCTTAGAGTGATAGGGATCGATAGCATTTGTAGAAAGCTGCTCAAAACAGTCGGTCTTTTAGCTGTACGCCTTCATTTGGGTAAACTACGACTGAAAAACAAAAAAAAAAAAGAGTATTTTTTACCAAAATCTGAATCCCAAAAATAACCGATGTACCCCCTTACAAAAAATGAGAAATTGGGTCAAAAAGTAAATCTTCCTTTAAGTGATAGGGATCGATAGCATTTGTAGAAAGCTGCTCAAAACAGTCGGTCTTTTAGCTGTACGCCTTCATTTGGGTAAACTACGACTGAAAAACCACTAAAAAATACGTATTTTTGACCAAAATCTGAATCCCAAAAATAACCGATGTACCCCCTTACAAAAAATGAGAAATTGGGTCAAAAAATAAATGTTCCTTAAAGTGTTAGGGATCGATAGCTTTTTTTGCAAGCTGCTCAAAACAGTCGGTCTTTTAGCTGTACGCCTTCATTTGGGTAAACTACGACTGAAAAACCACTAAAAAATACGTATTTTTGACCAAAATCTGAATCCCAAAAAAAACCGATGTACCCCCTTACAAAAAATGAGAAATTGGGTCAAAAAATAAATGTTCCTTAGAGTGATAGGGATCGATAGCATTTGTAGAAAGCTGCTCAAAACAGTCGGTCTTTTAGCTGTACGCCTTCATTTGGGTAAACTACGACTGAAAAACCACAAAAAAAATGAGTATTTTTGACCAAAATCTGAATCCCAAAAAAAACCGAAGTACCCCTACAAAAAATGAGAAATTGGGTCAAAAAATAAATGTTCCTTAAAGTGATAGGGATCGATAGCATTTGTAGAAAGCTGCTCAAAACAGTCGGTCTTTTAGCTGTACGCCTTCATTTGGGTAAACTACGACTAAAAAACCACAAAAAATGAGTATTTTTGACTAAAATCTGAATCCCAAAAAAAACCGATGTACCCCCTTACAAAAAGTGAGAAATTGGGTCAAAAAATAAATGTTCCTTAAAGTGTTAGGGATCGATAGCTTTTTTTGCAAGCTGCTCAAAACAGTCGGTCTTTTAGCTGTACGCCTTCATTTGGGTAAACTACGACTGAAAAACAAAAAAAAAAAAGAGTATTTTTTACCAAAATCTGAATCCCAAAAATAACCGATGTACCCCCTTACAAAAAGTGAGAAATTGGGTCAAAAAATAAATGTTCCTTAAAGTGTTAGGGATCGATAGCTTTTTTTGCAAGCTGCTCAAAACAGTCGGTCTTTTAGCTGTACGCCTTCATTTGGGTAAACTACGACTGAAAAACCACTAAAAAATACGTATTTTTGACCAAAATCTGAATCCCAAAAAAAACCGATGTACCCCCTTACAAAAAATGAGAAATTGGGTCAAAAAATAAATGTTCCTTAGAGTGATAGGGATCGATAGCATTTGTAGAAAGCTGCTCAAAACAGACGGTCTTTTAGTTGTACGCCTTGAATTGGCTAAACTACGACTGAAAAACCACATAAAAATGAGTATTTTTGACCAAAATCTGAATCCCAAAAATAACCGATGTACCCCCTTACAAAAAATGAGAAATTGGGTCAAAAAATAAATGTTCCTTAAAGTGATAGGGATCGATAGCATTTGTAGAAAGCTGCTCAAAACAGTCGGTCTTTTAGCTGTACGCCTTCATTTGGGTAAACTACGACTAAAAAACCACAAAAAATGAGTATTTTTGACTAAAATCTGAATCCCAAAAAAAACCGATGTACCCCCTTACAAAAAGTGAGAAATTGGGTCAAAAAATAAATGTTACTTTAAGTGATAGGGATCGATAGCATTTGTAGAAAGCTGCTCAAAACAGACGGTCTTTTAGTTGTACGCCTTGAATTGGCTAAACTACGACTGAAAAACCACTAAATAATACGTATTTTTGACCAAAATCTGAATCCCAAAAATAACCGATGTACCCCCTTACAAAAAATGAGAAATTGTTCCTTAAAGTGATAGGGATCGATAGCTATTTTTGCAAGCTGCTCAAAACAGTCGGTCTTTTAGCTGTACGCCTTCATTTGGGTAAACTACGACTGAAAAACCACAAAAAAATACGTATTTTTGACCAAAATCTGAGTCCCGAAAAAAACCGATGTACGATATTATAAAAAATGAGAAAATGGGTCCCAAAAAAATGTTCCTTATTTCTCAATATTCATTTATTAAATATATTCAGTATAATCTCTCAAATATTCTTGTATCTTTTTTTCTTTCAATAATTGTATGTTTGCGATTTTGTTTTTGGCCCCAGTTTGATCCCAATGATTTTTAGATTTATCTTAGTTACAAATCAGTTTAAGTTGTCTGATTACGATCTCAAAAATGCAGTTCAATCACTTAGGGATTGACCGTTTTCTCGAAACCGCTCTTGGTAACCGATGGAACTATGAATTTTTGCACATGATCAGAGTCTCAACATTTTCTGTGCAAATTCCTATTTTTTTTAGAGTTGTAAAAATTTTTTAATAGCATTTTTTTGTTTCCCTGGTTTAAGTAGTATTTCGTTAGATACATACATTTAAAAAAATATTTTTCAGATTTCCACTAAAAGGGTATCTTATTGGAGTCTCACCAAAAAGGATTTTAAATAAATTTAAAGTGACTAAAAAACCGTATTTAAAGTGTACTAAATCATTAAAGTTTAAAATAACGTTTAAAAGATTTTTAAAATGTTGAAAGCCCAAAATTCTTTGAGACACAGAGAAAAACAAGAACATTTTGTTATACATTTCTTTTGTTTTATTTTGTTTTTTATTTGAGAACAGCCCAACAGTGTGTTTTTTTATTATCATAGATGTGTATTGTATATATAAGTGTATGGTGTGATTTCTAGTTTTTTATGTATATATATATATCTATATTGTTGACTCGGGGTGCTGAGGTTAGAGCTGTGTGAGGAGGAGGAAACGTTTTCACGGATGCCACGAAAGAACAAGGACACACCAATAGATACAAGATACATTTAGGCGACATTAAGGACACGATTCGAGGGGAAACAGGTGGTTGGGCCCTAGTTTAGTTTATCAAAATTGGGTTCAGCTATTGGCTGGAGCTACGGACCTGCGGTTGCGGCGTTGGTGCGGAGTTTGTTGTTCTCGTGCTTGACGATGGCGTCTATGAGACTCTGGGCGCTGAAATGTTATTGTTTTATTTATTATTCTTATTTATAATATTAAAAGAAATACCGCGAGTTCTTCAGAAAATTATAGCCCTTTATATATTTACTCATATAACAGCAAAACTAAGGCCGCATTATCACACAAGATAAAATGTAGCGAATTCTTTAGAATATGAATTGTTTATAACAAAATCACTGAAGGAGCTTTATCATATAAGACTAAAAAACAGCGAATTCTTTAAAAAAAATATAGACATTTCTGTTAACTCATTTAGATTAAAAGCATCGAATTTTTCAAAAGATGACGGATAATCGTTATCCTTAATCGATTATCATATGTACAAGATACAAAGCAGCGAATTCTTTAGAAAACGAATATAAATGGGTAATATATATTTACGAAAGCCATTTAAACTTAATTGTATAGCAGCATTATTGAAGGCGCTTTATCAAACAAAATGAGAATCCGCGAATTCTTTAAACTATGATGACTCTATATATCTACTCGTATAACAGCATCACTGAAGGCGAATTCTTTAGAAAGTTTTAATGGTTATGTTCGTGCTCAGACTGTAAAAGCAAAAGCATCAACTGTTATGTTCGAACTTTGCTATAAACTCTTGAAGGACATATTTTAGAGATCCCTTTCGCCGTTGCTATTTAAAAGGTGCTTTTTATTAGAGGATTATATTTAGCAATAAACTTACGCGTTTTGTTCGCGATCTGAGATCGGGCGTGGTGGACCCGTCTCTGGAACGGAGGTCCGCATGAGCTGCACGGGCGAAGGTCCGGAGCGGCGTGGCGGCAGCGGAGCGTGGACGAAGGTCGGGCGCGGGAACTCGCGACTTGGACCTGCTGTTGCGTCGTTGGTGCGATCGATCTCGTGCTTGATGATGGCGTCTATGAGACTCTGGGCGCTCAGTTGTCCGGGTTTATCCTCTGGCGCTGGACCGCCGTGTGCCTGACGGTAGTACCTGCGGGGGTAAAACGAATGTGATTAGCTGACTGTTGGATATTTTTAAAATCATAAGAAATAGAGCTCGTAAAAAATCAGTTGATCGTTCCTGAGATTTTTATTATTGTCTCTCCAGCTTTATATTAAATGAAAAACCGCGAATTCTTCAGAAAATCATGGCTTTTTATATATTTACTCATATAAAAGCATCACTAAGGCCAATTTATCTCACAAGATATAATTTAGCGAATTCTTTAGAAGATTAATTAAAACAAAAATCATTAAAGGCGCTTTATCATACAAGATAAAAAACAGCGAATTCTTCAGAAAACGTTAGACATTTACATATACAAGATGAAAAGCAGCGAATTCTTCAAAAGATGGAGAATTATGAATAACAGAATCACTGAAGACACTTTATCATATGTACAAGATACAAAACAGCGAATTCTTTAGAAAACGAATATAAATGTCGCATTTATATCAACGATAGCCATTTAAATTTAATTGTATAACAGCATCACTAATGGCGCTTTATCATACAAAATGAGAAACCGCGAATTCTTCAGATTATGATCACGCTATATATTTACACGTATTACAGCATCACTGGAAGCGAATTCTTTAGAAAATTTTATAGGTTATGTTCGTGCACAGACTGTAAAATGAAAAGGATCAACTGTTTTTTACGAACTTTGCTATAAACGCTTGTAAAACATCTTTTAGAGATCCCTTTCACCAATGGTATTTCCAAGAAACCAAGAGGTTTCTATTTAGCAATCAACTTACGCGTCTCGTTCGCGATCTGGGATCGAGCGTGGTGGACCAGTTTCTGGAACGGAGGACCGCATGAACTGCCCGAGCGGAGGTCCGGAGCGGCGTGGCGGCAGCGGAGCGTGGACGAAGGTCGGGCGCGGGAACTCGCGACTCGGACCTGCGGTTGCGTCGTTGGTGCGATCGATCTCGTGCTTGATGATGGCGTCTATGAGACTCTGGGCACTCAGTTGGCCGGGCGTATCCTCTGGCGCTGGACCGCCGTGTGCCTGACGGTAGTACCTGCGGGGGCGAAACGAATGTGATAAGTCAACTGCTCAATATATCTATAAAACTATGAACCAGAGTGAAAAAGCTGTTACTGGTTGTTGTTCCCAATTAGGAAAATATTTGTATTTATACATTTTTTGTAGGTATTTACTAAGTTGTTTTTATTCTAAAACTTTAAAATTCCAAATTAAGAAAAAAAAACATTTTCTAACAACCGTATTTGATGCTGACTATTCCTAAAAACCTATGAACCAGACCTCGTAAAAAAATAGTTGCTGGTTGTTAAAAATAAACCCAACTAAGGAAATATTTGTATTTTAACAATTTTTTTTTATTTTAAAACTTTAAAGTTCCAAACTAAAAAAAAAACAATGTTCTAACAACCGTATTTGATTTAAAAATATTCTTACACAACGAGTATTTGAAGTTTGATTATATTTTTCCAGTTTTATAATATTGAATGAAAAACCGCGAATTCTTCAGTAAATTATGGCCCTTTATATATTTACTAATATAACAGCATCACTAAGGCCTCTTTATCACACCAGATAAAATGTAGCTAAGTCTGTAGAAGATAAAATATTTATAAAGGCGCTTTATTATACAAGATAAAAAAACAGCGAATTCTTTAAAAATCGATATACATTTATATTTACACATGCAGGGCGCTGAATCACACAAGATGGAAAGCAGCGAATTCTTTAAAATGTGATATTCACTACAGAAATACTGAAACCGCGAATTCTTCAGATTATGATGACTCTATATATTTACTAGTATCATAGCATCACTGAAGGCGAATTGTTTAGAAAGTTTTAAAGGTTATGTTCGTACTCAGACTGTGAAATCAAAACGATCAACTGTTATTTACAAGCTTTGCTTTAAACTTTTGAAGAACATTTTTTGCAGATCCTTTATTAATGGTATTTTCAAGCTCCTTTTTATTGAAAGATTCTATTAAGCATTAAACTTACGCGTCTCGTTCGCGATCTGGGATCGAGCGTGGTGGACCCGTCTCTGGGATGGAGTCTCGCATGGACTGCCCGGGCAAAGGTCCTCCGCCGCCGGAGCCGCCTGGCGCGATGACCTCACCGCCAGCGAACATGCGCTCCATGCGACGACTTTCTTGCTCCCGCTCCTCAGAAAACTTAAGGTTAAATAGCAATTAAGCAAAATCGTTACAAAATAAATGAAACTATAAACACAATCTGTCTGTTTTCAAATCGAGTATTTAGTATTTTGAGCAGCAAGGTTTTCTGTGCTCCCGATATCTCACTCCTATCCGAACCGTTGGAGTGATGTCACCTCGTGCTGTTTTTTGGGGTGTTACGTCCGTTCGTCGGGGTTTCTGGATGGGAACTGCGAAAAGCTTTCCTGTTTTGCATTCTCGCCGCGTGTTCTCGATAAGCACCATGTTTTTTTTTCTCGCTAACGACTTCAGAAACTTTGATACCAAACCCTCTGGGTAATATTATAAGGAACGAAAGTCTGGATTTTGACTCTACATTCTTTAAATGTAGAAACAAAGTAAAGATTTGGTTTGACGAATTACACTATCATTTCTTTAAATTCCGCCAAGGATTCATCTAAAGTTTCTTGGCTTCGCTCAGTTTGGAAAAGCCATTTTTGAAATTTTTTCAAGTATTCTAGTATTCTTCTTTCAAAAATTGTTTTTTTTTCGGTATTGTTTTTGTTCTAGTTTGATCCCAATGGTTTATAAATTTGGACGGCTTATCTTATTCACAAATAAGTTTAAGTTGTGTGATTTTGATTTGAAAACTGCAATTCGATCAAATATTTAGGAATTGAAAGATTTATCTCGAAACCGCTTTTGGTAACCGATGCACACATTACTTTTTGCCATTTTTTTTGACCTCAATATTTGTTGGAATTTTTTCTTAAGTTTTGACAAATTTGTAAATTAAATTGATCACTTCCTTGGTTCAATCAGTATTTCGTTTGATACATTAAAAAAAAATATTTTTAAATGTCCACTAAGAGCATATTTTGTGGAGTCTCACCAAAAATGTTTTGTAATCAATTGAAAGGAACTAAGAAAAATACTTCAAGGGTACGTAAGCTTTAAATATCGTTGGAAATAATAAGAAAAACATTTATAAAATGCTCCCTTTTGGCCCAAAATCCCCTGAGACACAGAGAAAAAACGAGAACATTTTGTTATACATTTCTTTTGTTTTATTTTTTTGTATTTGTTTTTATTTTGTTTTGTTTGCTTTTTAATATGTTGTATTTAATTTTATATTATTATTTTTAAGCTTACAACTTAAGGCATAAAGTTACAACTAAAACTTAAGTGCTAAACATCATTATCATGTATCGATCATAATCAGCTCTAGCTCTGCGACTCGGCGCACATTATATGCATATACTCCACATAATATTGTTGTTTACTCTCCACTCCTCTCTTTTTTTATCTCTCATTTTTTATCCATTCATAATTTGTGTTTATTGTTATCATTATGCACTCAAAAACCGCCTTTACTCGTAATTTGTTTTTACTTTTTTTTCGTTTGCCATACAACTATATCGATTTGAAATTGATACAACAGAAAATAAACGGGGGGGAAGGTTGGTAGAACCGAAACAATAAAGGGGTCCTTCAATATATGTAGCGAATTTGAATTTGTTTTTTTGTGATTTTGCTTAAATCATTTTCAGGGCACGCCGCCGCGTTGTGCATACACATTTTGTTTTGTTTTACAATCCACATTCAGCTGGCGTTCTTTGTAATGCGCCCAGCTATAAAATTCGGTTATTCATACAAGTATTCATTTATATATTTATATGTGTGTAGAAAGTGCTCTCTATCGAGGATCGGCCATCGGGGATCGGATTGGGGGGCGATGCGAGCTGTTTCGTTGTGTAGGCGTTGTTGTCCGTCCGTCCAGTCCCCAGGTCGCAATCGCCCCACCTCCCACGACCCCTCCGCTCGACGCCCCTGGCGCTGTTTATTCAGTTAGTTATTATGCTGCCGTTTTACATACATTTATTATCATATATATGTATATATATATATATATCTATATATTTTGTAAAATTTTCTGTATATATATAGAATTTGTTTTTTATTTAATTTAATTTTTATATATATATATATATATTTATAAAAAAAAATACGCTTCCTGCTCTTAACTAAAACGTTGCTGCGCGCTGCTCGGCCAGAGTTGCGTTTCGGGTTTTCCATATCCGTTTCCGCTTTGAATCGGTTTTCGGTTGCGAATATCTGCATCGTTAGCTTTTACATATATACTCGTATATATATATATATATATATCGTTTATCTTTTAATATTTTACAATTTTTTGTTTTTGTTTTGTTTTGTTGAATAAGTCTTAGCGTTTGTTGTGTTTACTTCATATATATTTACTATATAGATTTTGTTTCGTTTTTTAGTTTCATTATGTATTAAAAATATTTAATTTTTTTGTTTTCACGTTTTTCAATTGGTTTCACGTTTGTTTTGCGTTTGCATATCAAAAAAAAAAGTTAAAAAACGAATTAAACATTAAAGTAGCTAAACACTAAAACTGTTTCGTAAGACATAAGTGTTATATAAAAAAATATGCGTATGTATATCCCATATTATATATTTATACGTAATGGGCTTACTTTTATTTTACTTACATCGAAACTTTCATTAGCTTATCAATTAAACGTACATAATTCAATAGCGTTTGCTTAAGAAGAGGGTAAAACACAATCATGCTCCATAAATTAGATCTTGCATATAAAAATAGCAAAAAAAAAATATATAAACGAATAATAGTAGTAGTAAATTTATCGATAAGATTGATTAAATGATGCTCATTAAAATTATGCGCAGTTTTTTATGAAATTTACAAAAAGTCGTTTAAATAATGTTTAAAGTGTTCTATAGGTAATATATATATATATTTACTTGTTTCACGTTTTACTTGTTTTCTTTCCTTTAGGTTTTTGTTTTTATTTTGTTTTTTTTTTTTCTAAGAACAGCCCAACAGTGTGTTTTTTATTATTTTGTTTACTCCTTATAATCATAGGTGTGTATTGTATATATAAGTGTGTGGTGTGATTTCTAGTTTTTTATGTATATATATATATATCTATATTGTTGTCACTACCAATTTCATTACGTTCTGACTCGGGGTGCTGAGGTTAGAGCTGTGTGAGGAGGAGGAAACGTTTTCACGGATGCCACGAAAGAACAAGGACACACCAATAGATACAAGATACATTTAGGCGACATAAAGGACACGATTCGAGGGGAAACAGGTGGTTGGGCCCTAGTTTAGTCTATCAAAGTTGGCTTCAGCTATTGGTTTCATTATATACAATTTCAAAATGTCTGTTTTAAATTTTAAACATAGCTAAGATGCTCTCGGTAAAATTAAGTTTTAAAATAAAGTCCTATTGTAAGTCTAAGGCTAAAGGTTAAAATCAAAAATCCAATCTTTTTTGTACAATTTTTAAATATGTGTGCTTTATTTTTGTTTGCAGCCACAATTGTTTTGTTTGAACTGTTTTGAAAATGTCTAAATAATTTTGTGTTGGACAAAACTTCAACTAGATATTGTCAAGTCTACATATGCCGTCCCACTCTGTTGCCCCTCAGCATCTCTAACTCCCTCTCTTTCGATTTCCTGCTGCTGTTGTTTCCTCATTATATTATTCTTTTGTTTTTGTTTAGTTAAAGCCTTTTTCTTTTTGTTTTTTATACATATTTCGTTTGCCTAGCTTGGGCTTCTTGTCCAACAGCAAGATGTGTTAGTTGCTTAAGCTGCATGTGCTGCATGTGCTGCATATGCTGCTGATGTTCCTGATGTTGCTGGTGCTAGTGTTGCAGCTGCTGCATTTAGTGTTGCTGTCAGTAGTAGCCCGGATTGCCGCCGGCAGCACTGCTCCCATTGCCTCCTGGATAATGCTCACTGGCATAGTAGAGGCTCCTCTGTTGCTGCTGCTGCTGGTGGAGATGCTGCTGCTGTTGCTGTTGCTGCTGCTGGAGTTGTTGCTGCTGGGATTGCAACGGTGGCGGCAGCACTGAGGTTTGATAGAGCTGCTGCTGCTGCTGATGATGCTGCTGATGTTGCTGCTGCTGCTGGCGATGAGGCGACTGTTGCTGCTGGACAAGATGCGGATGCGTATGCGGATGTGGTGGTGGTGGCTGCTGTTGATGCTGGGAGTGTCGCCGGTAGCCAGGATAGCCGTAGACCACGCTCGTGCTGCTGCCGGGCGGTAGTGCTGCTGCTGCTACTGCTATTGCTGCTGGCCGCAGGTGCGACGCCGACGCCGAGGACGACGCCGGCAGTCACAACTAATCTTCGTCGCTAAGGGCATCGTACTTGGACAGCAGCAGTGGCTTCGATTCGCTGGCCGCCGCCGCCGCTGCTGCAGCGGCCACCACAGCAGCTGCCGCCGACGACGGATGTTGGATCGACTGGGCAACGCTGCCGCCACCGCCGCCTCCTGGTCCACCGCCGCCACCGGGGCCACCTCCTCCGACCGAGACACCACCTGGTCCGCCTGCCATACCGCCGGATCCACCGCCCACCACCAGGGACACCCCACCGCCGACTGCTCCCAGCTCACTAAGCGCATGCGCCGCCTTGGCCTTGGCACTCAGATGGCCTGGTGGCGGAACTGCCTGGTGCGCCAGCTGCAGCGGCTGCGGTGGTGGCAATCCTCCGGCTGCACTGGGCACAGTCAATGCGCTATAGGGGAAGGCATAGGTGCTGGGAGCATAGGCTCCGGCCGGCGGATGATACGGCGAGTGGTGACTGTTGGCTCCCGACACCGTGACCGAGACAGAGCCCGCCGAGCGCCGTCCACTGGCATCAACTACCTCGTACTGGTTGGGCGTCTTGCGCGACACACTGATCTCTGGCGGCGGCGGCGGCTCCTTGCTGCGGTGCTGCAGCTCCATGGCAGCGGCATGGGCCACATGGGCCACGTGCGCCACATGGGCGGCATGGGCGGCATGCGAATGAGCCACCATATCGGCGGTCACTTCATCATCCGAACGCACCTCCACAGTTCGGTTCTTTCCATAGCTAATATCATCGCGCATCACCTCGGCGATGCGAGTCTTAACATAATTGTCAATGGTGGTGGAACCGCCGCCCGATCCGGGTCCTCCGCCGCCGGGTGGTCCACTGCCACCGCCGGGCGCTCCCCTCTGCTCCGGCAGCACAACGCGGCTGGGTATGTAGAACTGTCCCGGCTCGCCACCCGGCGCCGCAGCTCCCATCACATGGTGCAGCATCAGGTCATGGCTATACTTTCGCGGACTGACCGCCTGCGGCATTCGGATAATGTTGCGTCCATCCTCGCCGGGCGTGTTGGACCTGCCGGCGCCACTTCCTCCGCTGCCCGGACCGCCCGGAGCTCCGCCCTGACCTCCACCGCCGGGCGCTGGTGGTGGATGATGCTGCTGGGCATGGTGTTGCTGCTGCTGTTGCTGCTGCTGCTGGGCGTGATGTTGCTGCTGCTGCTGCTGGACATGTTGCTGCTGCTGCTGCGAAAGATGCTTGGCTTCCTCCGCCTTCTGCTGCATGCGACGATTCTGCTTCCAACGATCCGGCGGCAGGATGGACTGCGTCTCCTGCAGATAGGCCATAAAGGGTGGCGTGGGACGCAGATGGGGATTGGTCACGTAGTCGTTGGTTATGATCGAATCAGTTAGCTCGCCAAAGGTAATGCTCTTGGTATGAATCTGCTGGGGACTCGGAGCTGAGCCGCCAGCCTGGGAGGTCGGAGTTCTCAGCTGACCATGCACGGATCTCGATTGCGACGATTGCGATGGTGGTGGCTGAGATTGCTGTTGCTGCTGCTGCTGTTGTTGCTGCTGTTGGGCAACTGCTGCGGCTGCCGCCGAGATTCGCTCCTGATCCAAATCAATGTTGATCACACTGGGCGATCCCGATGAGCTGGGCTTGCCATTGTTCTCCGCCGTCAGTAGAGAGACTGCTCCGCCCTCGTGCGGCTGGCGATGATCGCGCACATACATCTGATGGAGGACATTGGCTGGCGAGGATCGGGTGCCGGCACCGCCGCCCGATCCCGAGCCGCGTGGCGGCAGCGGAGCGTGGACGAAGGTGGGGCGCGGGAACTCGCGACTCGGACCTGCGGTTGCGTCGTTGGTGCGATTGATCTCGTGCTTGATGATGGCGTCTATGAGACTCTGGGCACTCAGTTGTCCGGGCGTATCCTCTGGCGCTGGACCGCCGTGTGCCTGACGATAGTACCTGCGGGGGTGAAACGTGATTAGTCAACTGCTGAATATTTTTAAAATCATAAGCACCAGGGGTCATTAAAAAATATGCAGATTGAACGAGTATATCAAGGAAGGCGCTTTATAATATTAAATAAAAAACCGCGAGTTCTTTAGGAGATTATATAATAACTCATCACAGAAGGCGCTTTATCATACAAGCAAATTAACAGCGAATTCTTTAGAAAACGATGCATTTATATTTAAGGCGCATAATCATTCAAAATGAAAAGCAGCGAATTCTTCAGAAGATGCTGGCCATTTATTTATAAAACTAAAACTGATGGCATTTTATCATATGTACAAGATGAAAAACAGTGAATTCATTAGACAATCAAATCCATTTATAGATACTTATATAAAACGATTACTGATTGTCATGCTAAATTCGAGTTCCTTACAAGATAATGGTAAACTATTTATATGCTGATATTACAGAATCACTAAAGGCGCTTTAGCAGATGTTCAATATAAAAAACAGCGAATTCTTTAGAAGGTTGTTGAGATTATGTTCGTACTCAGACTGTAAAATCAAAAGGATCAACTGTTATTTACAAGCTTTGCTATGAACTCTTGAAGAACATCTGTTAAAGATCCCTTTCACCGATGGTATTTCCAAGATACTGTTTTATTAGAGGATCTTATTTAGCAATCAACTTACGCGTCTCGTTCGCGATCTGGGATCGAGCGTGGTGGACCCGTCTCTGGGACGGAGGCCCGCATGAATTGGCCGGGCGAAGGTCCTCCGCCGCCGGCGCCGCCTGGCGCGTTCACCACACCGCCGGCGAACATGCGCTCCATGCGACGACTGTCCCGCTCCCGCTCCTCGGCCACCACCCGTCGCTCCCGATCCTGTTCCCGCCGCTCTCGTTCCCTTTCTCGCTCCCGTTCCCGCTCACGGTCACGTTCACGCTGCTCTCGCTCCCGCTCCCGTTCCCGCTCCCGTTCGCGCTGCTCTCGTTCCCGCTCCCTTTCCCGCTGCTCGCGATCACGTTCGCGCATCCGCTCCTGATTCTGCAGCATCTCCCTGTCCCGCTCGAGGTTATGGTTGTGCTGCTGCTGCTGCTGATGCTGCTGGTGGCGCATCACACGCTTGGCATTGTCCATGTGCCGCTGCATGTCCACCTGGGCGGCCACATTGAGGCTGCGATAGTGCTGCTGTTGGGCAATCTGCTGCTGCACCAGGGTGTGATGATGGTGCTGCAAGGCGAGATCGCGGTAGCGCTGATCGTGGTGAGCAGTTGGCGGCGGTGGCTGGGCCACGCCAACCACAGCATGTGGTGGCAGCGGTGCCGGACCGGGTCCAGGTCCTGGTATTTGTCCCGGCGGAGGAGCGGCGCCCGGTGACTTGTCATCCTTTTGCGACGGCACCGGCAACTGGGGCTGCTGCACGGCCACGTCCACAAAGGAGGCTAGGGCATCGTGACCACCTATGAGGAATGGTTAAGAGAACATGGATTAGTTTCTGGTCAGGATTGCCAGTTGGCTGATTTAAGCAAACTTACTTGGAGCATATTGATAGGGGGACACAATGTGCATGCTCCTTGGAGGCGGAGCTGCCGGGGATGGGGGTTTGGAGCCCGTGTTGTGCCGCTGGATTACCCCCTGTCGTTGCGGCGGCGGCGTGCGATGCGGACTTGGAGTGCTGGATAAAAGGGAAAATAAGGAATTAGTTGTAGTTTCACAAAATAATTTGGAAAAACTATGGAATATAATGTACAGATGTATTTATAGCTACAAAATATAGATAGGAGGTCAACTTTGGTAAACTACCTACAAAATCCATAAGTTAAAGAGGTTTCTAAGAAATACACAAATTCTAGGGTAATAATAATGAATTGACTATCATATATTGCCTACAAAACTTACTAAGGAGTTACCTAAAAATTATATACTATATATATACTTGTAGATTCTTCTTCCTAAATATTTATTTTGTTTTTAACAATGTAGAAATAATTATAAAATTGGTTATTATTTATTTTCAACAGGTGCAATAATTATAAAATGTGTTATTTTTTATGACCTTGATGTTCTTTGGTAATTATATAAGGCCTTTATATTCTTTGGCGCTTTTAATATTTTTATTTGCTTTTTTCCACAGGTGCCACTTTAATTTTTTTTCTTTTAAAGTATTTTAAATTTTTACTAGATTTTTAATAATCAATTTTCTTGATCCTTTTCTTGATAGTGTTTACTACATTTTCATTTATTTAATTTAGCCTTAGCATTTTGTATTTTTCATTTGAAACAGGTGTCTCTAGAACCTTTTTTCTTTAAGTTGATAACTCCAGTTTTACTTAATTATTTTTGCCTGGTTTTCATTTGTAAAAAACAAACATAATTTAAGTTTATAAAGTAGTTCATCTACTTGATTTCGTTTTTATTCATTCGTTTTAATTTCAACAGGTGTCACAGCAACCTTTCTTCCGTTGAAGTCCTTTAATTGTTTACCACATTTGTAGGTAATTTATTTATGGCTTAACATTTCATGCTTTCTTTTTTCAACAGGTTTCACTGTAAGCTTAATTTCACCACTTGTTTATTTCTGCCTTTGTTTTTATTTGTGGAATTAAATCATTGTTTTTTAAACTAGTTCATCGTTTAGATGTCACTTTTATTCATTCGTGTTATTTCCCAACAGGTGTCACACTGCAGTTGTTTATTTTATGGTCAATTTGTTTCGCCAAGGTCAGTAAACAATTATTATGATTAATGTGAAAAACATATTACTTATCCGCATGCTTTTTGTATTTATTTAAAATTAACTTCTTAATTTTGAAGTTTTCGAAAGTGAAAGTGCGGGAGAGCGAGCTCTTGTGTTCAGCTTTTTGTGAAATTTTCCAAACGTGAAAGATATATTTTCGGACTGCCCACTGATTTTCGGGAGCTTTTAATCTGCTCGCAGTCACGACTTTTTCCGCATTGCTCTCATTTGCATGGCGTCCCTGTTTTACAGGATAACCTTTAACATGATTTTAACCAAAGTCCAAAGTCCGATGGCAGATGGACAGCTCGTCCAAATGTGGAGAATTATGACGCAGATGATGATATGCAAGAGTGGAGTGCGTAGGCCACACTACAGTGCTCTTTCAATAGAACACCATATATACTACATATACTATATATGCCATTTGAATGGCGAAAACTAGGGGGGGGGGGATGTATGTTGGCACATCATTAATCCTTTCATGGAGCAGGCACTGTACTTTATTAGTTGAAATGGGTCAAGTTCTGTTAAGCTGGCCATTTTGACCCACTGCACAATTATACATGACCATAATTGACATGTTGTTCTGGATGGCCAATGAATTCTGAAGAGCTTTTAATTGCGTTGCGTTTTAACAGATTTTTACATTCCACACATCGGATGGCATTGGAGTTCTCTTGTTTTTCACTTCAATAATTAATATTCAATTAATATTGATATTCAATTAGTATGTAAAATTAAAATTGCAATCAAACTTTGGTTGTCAGGAAACAAAAGCTCAGGCTAGTCCTTGGGAAATATGTTTTAAACAATGTGGCAATTAATAAATAAATAAATAAATAAAATAATTTATTAATTTAAATTTGATTATATCTAGTCTAATATCACAGATTCATATAAAATAATCCAAGACTCACTGATAAAAAAAATTAAATGGTAGATATAATTAAATGAATTTTGAGTTCAAAACTTCGTATTTTTGAATACACAATTTAAAAAATATTTATATTTAATATGAAAATATTCGAGTAAAGCTAAAAATATTAGATACTTAAATTTGTAACTTTAAGCTCATAATTTTATAAATAAATAATAAACATGTACTTCAAGCATTTTATAAAAGATTAAAAGATTGCATATCGAAATGTAGGTTTAAATTCTTAAATTAACTTCCATTGTTCCAATTAATATTTATAAATTTAAAATTAATAAAAACAGCAATCGTATTGAAAAATACTTTAATTTTAGCTTCAACTGTTCAATTTAATATTTACATATTTCAAATTAATAAAAACAACTATGGTATTGAAAAATCCTTTAATTGAATATGAAATCTTTGGATTCTTGAACTAACTTCATTTTTTATATTTATTATTTACTTGTTACAAAATTAATAAAAAAAAGCTATTATAGCGGAAAATATTTTAATTTAATATGAAATCTTCAAATCCCTATATATTTTTCCATGTTTAAGATGATTAAAACCAGCTATTGTAGCGGAAAATGTGTTTTTTTAATATTTGAATTGAATCTGAAACCTCTGGACCTACTACATTTTTTTATCAGTGTACTATATCACATATCTTTGAATGCAAACCTAGCCTAACCTAGGGATCCCTAGTAAACCCCCCCATTTCCCATCTCCACTCACCTGTTGGCATGATCTGCCGGCGACGCACGACTGGAGTACTCCGGCCTTCCCCTGGGCGCCGACTCCTTGTCCCCGCCGTAGGCGAATCCCCCGGCGCTGCCCACGCTGTTCCGCGGCGAGGGCGACTCCTTGTCGGAGCCACCGCCTCCGCCGCCGCCGCTGGCACTGCTGCCGCGCGACATGTTGCGCTGCTGCTGCTGCTGTTGCTGCTGCTGCTGGCCCTGCATCTGCTGCGAGGTGATGTAGTCGTGCATCACGATCTGCCGCGTGCTCAGCACTGGGGCCTGCTCCACAACGCCGCTGAATGGCGATCGGGCATAGGGCGAACTCACACCCACTCCATAGCCCTGCGGTGGTGGTGCCTGCGGCGATGATTGCTGCGGTGGCGGCGGCAATTGCTGATTACCACCTGGCTGCTGGGCGGGACTGTGACGTTGCGAGCTCTTGTAATAGCTCTCGTAGGCCCGCTTGCTCTCCAAATGATGCGGCGGCAGGTGCAGGGGTGTGCCTTGCGTTATCGAACCATGTTTGCCGCTGCCACCTGGGCCACCGGGTCCTCCGGCACCCACACCCTCGGGCGTCGTCTGCCTGACCAGGCCATCGAACTTGGGACTCAGCAACGAGGAGGATGAGGCTGCAGCTGCTGCTGCTGCCGCCGCTGCCGCATGTACGATCTGTATTTGTTGCTGGGCCGCATTGGCCGGTGTTCCATGGGTGATGGAACCGCTCTTCACCAGCAATTGCTGCTGTGCAGCCGCCTGTTGCTGCTGTTGTTGCTGCTGCTGTTGCTGTTGCTGCTGCTGTTGTTGCTGTTGCTGCTGCTGCGATGGCGAGTGTCCGTGGCTGGGATGCAGGTGGTGGGGACTCAGCTTGGGCGGCGCCTTGGACACACCTCGGCTGGAGGGCGGTTGTGCCGGTGGCGGTTGTCCAGCTCTCGGCGGCAATTGACCCTGGCCGGAAATGGAAATGGGCACGGGACCTGAGCCAGGTTGCACGTACAGAGTGCTGCCGGGCAAGCCAGGCAGGCCTGGCATCACACCGGGCACCTTGAGCAGTCCGTGCGGCGGTGTGGGATACAGATACGAACTGGGCGCCGCCAGCGAGGGAACGGTGACGGTATCGCCACGATACATGCCCGTTGAGCGGACAATATGCTTCATCGACATCGTTGGCGGCGGCGGGCCATGATGGCGATCCGAAGAGGAGGATGGTCCTCCGGCTCCAGAGCCACCGGATGATCCGCCGGCTCCCGTGTGCGGTGAGTGGCCATCGCGCGGTGGCTTCTTGATGCTCAGATCGAGGGTCTGTGGCTCCGGTTCCGGCACTTGCAGCTGCGAGTGCTGCGGATGCTGCGCCAGCGACGGATGCTGCGGATGAGCCGGATGCTGGGCATGCGACGGATGAGCAGGATGCACCGAGTGCTGCGGCGGCGGTGGAATGCCACGTTGCGGATGCGCCGTTGGCACATTGTATATGATGGTCTCCGGCGGCGTGGGTGTCGAATGGGCTGACGAACCGCCACCGCTCTTCGATGATCCACCACTGGAGCTCTTTACCACCGGCGTTATGGTGGCCTTGTCCACTCCACCTACTCCACCGGCGGCTGTGGCATGGGCCATGAGCCCAGGATGACCCAGTTGACCCACCACACCCAGGTGAGAGTTGACCACCGATAGGGTGGCCAGACTATCGCTGGTTCCATTGTTGCTACTGCTTGTCGGTGGCAGCGGATGAGCCGGTGGCGGTGGCGGCACTGCAGCTGGCCGGGATGGTAGCTTCTGCACGGAGGTGCCATGGGGCAGGCCACTTGCTCCCGAGGTGGGCGGCGGTGCTCCGCCGGACTGCTGCTTTAGGATATTCGGATCCTGGCGATATTCCCGCACAATGGTCAGCTCCTTGCGTTCCAGATTATTGGCAGATTGTTGTTGCTGCTGCTGCTGTTGCTGTTGCTGCTGCTGGGATGGGGATTGGCTTTGTCCTTGAGCCTGCCCCTGACCCTGCTGCTGACCCTGCTGCTGCTGACCTCCTTGTCCGCCCTTGGGCTGCGGACCCTTGTGCTTCAGCGAACGCTCAATCACCGAGAATACGCAATCCTGCACATTGTTGACCGCCTCGCGTCGCATGCCCATCGGTCCGTTGACCTGCTGACCAGGTGGTGCTCCACCCGGTGGCATTCCTCCCGCCACCATATTGCCCACCGGCGGCTGCAGTCCGGCCACATTATTGGCATGTCCCACATGCCCATGTCCACCACCGCCATGGCCATGGAACAGGACCTTGGGACTCTGGCGATTGGCCGGCGAGTTCTCGTTCTCCTCATCCGCCGTTTCCGTGGCCGAGGAGTCGTACTCCTCGCTGGTCTTCTGTTTCTTGGGTGCCTGCCCGGCGGCGGGGGGCAACAGGCGATCATTGTCACCCGCCGGCGCAGCCACGCCCGCCGATCCCGCCTTGCCGCTCATCCGTGGTGTGATAATCAATGGCGTGCTGTTGTCGCCTCCTCCTCGAGGAGTCGATGTGGCCTTCTGTTGCGGAGCTGGCGGTGGCTGGGGCTGCGATAGTTGCTGATGTTGCTGCTGCTGCTGCTGCTGTTGTTGCTGCTGCAGCTGCTGTTGCTGTTGCTGCTGCTGCTGTTTGACCAAGGTGAGGGATTTGTGGCGCTGTAGATTCTCTGGACTCTCCACCGATGCCGTATCCGAACCACCCGGCTCCCGTTCGTCACACGACGAGGTACTGACATCCGTCTCATCGCCACAACTTCCGCTTCCGGCTCCGCCACCGGAGCCATCCGTGAGATTCAGCTGCGGATCCAGCTTGCGGCGAATGCGCATCAGGCAGGCCGAGCAGCAGCGGGTGGCATGCGGGGGTATCTGGAATTCGGCCATCACCGGATCGCGAATGTCGGGCGCCAGTTCGAAGAGGCGGGAGGGAATGTTCCGCAGACGCTGGGCCCGATCCTTGGGATTGGGGCACGTGGGCAGCGGGCAGTTCGGATAGCGGCTGCGCACCGATTTGCATTGGCAGCTGTTGCAGACGCGGGCTCCGGCCGGAATCGTCTCGTCGGGAATGCCGTACTGCTGGCCACGCCCCTTCTTCAGCGGTCGGGTGCGCGGACACGCCTCCGCCTTGCACACAAAGCAGCTGGCCAGTTTGTCTGTGGAGGAGGAAGGAGGGCAAGAATCCAAGGTTAGTAAGTGGGCACAGCTACACTTGGAAAAATATTCAACAAGACCGGCATGTATATTTAATCTTTCAACTATATTTTCAAAAAATCTTTAAAAAAATACCACACGAATTTTATAAAATATATTATGTTTGTAACTCGAAATATTTTCAAAAATATAGAATCGGAATAAGAACTTGAGAATTATAAGCCCACTGTATTACCATAAAGAAATACTGTATGCAAAATATCATCCTTCAATCTTTGAACAATCTAATCTCTTTGAAAAAATTGGTTGAGAATTATATAATTATTATGTTTATATCTTAAAATATTTTCAAAAATATTGAATCGGAATAAGAAGTTGAGAATTATAGGGACACTGTTTTACCACATTTAAATACCATATTACCGTCCGATCATTGAACAATCTACATTCTTTGGAAGAAGTAGTTGAGAATTATAAGCGTACTATTTTATCATATTGAAATTTTACAATATGAACCTTCAATCTATGAACAATACACATGAAAATATAAACATATTGTAGAAGAATAAGTAGTTGAGAATTATAAGGCACATTGCACTTCAATATAGAAATATAATAGCCAAAATTAAAAACTTCAGGAACGATAGTAAACAATCGAGTTCCCTTAATTATTTCTAATTAGTATTGATATTATTATTAAATTATTTTATAAATTATTTATGTATTTCATTACCATCCCTTAAAGCCATATAATATTTTTTAGAGTGTAAGCAAAAGTTAAGCAAACACATTAAAAAATGCGATTTAATTAAAGCCACTGGTCAGGAAAAGTGGGGTTGGGTGGATGGAAGTCTGGGAAACAGGGAGAAGGGGATCGCTTTCATTAAGCCACTTAACAAATAATGAGCAGCAGCCAATTGAATATTTTAAAACGCCTTCCACCCAGCAGCTTTCAACGGGAAAAACGGCAGGAGGGGCACAAGGATGCGGCTCAGGACGATTGCTGATGGATGGATGGATGGATGGATGGTTGGAATGGCAATTAATGGGAGAGGGATGCTTTGGGATCTGCAGATATGGTGGATTACTATTGAACAAAGTAAACCGTATGGAAAAAGTAAAAATTATGATTTTAATAGCTTGTAAAAAACATATTTTGAAGTGGGAAAACACCCAGGCATTTTAAAAAAAAAAACAGATATTAAAAATACAATCCACTCATGCATATATTTTTAAAACTCTGATATTTGCTCTCAACTTGAAAATTAATTTTAATCCCTTTTGATCAAACCTCAAGATATACCCTCAAGTTATGGCTTCAAAATGGATTATCACAGGAAACAACACACCCCTGACCAACCGGAAACGCAAAAACCCACCACCACCACCAAATGAAAATCCTGACTCGGTGGCAATTTCTGTTTGTCTTAGTTTTTGTTTAGCCACTTTAATAATTTTAAAATTTTAATGATGTGCAAATAGAGCGGGAAAATGCGCTGAGGGGGCAAACACAATTGCGGCATTTAACCAAAATCAATGTAATTAAAATAAAGAACGAGGGGTGGTGGTGATTTAATAAAGAATAATTGTAAGTAAAATCAATCAGGGTTTTAAATGTCAGTGGAGACGACGACGACTGCTGACCAAACAGAGAAGAGTCCTTATTTTCGTCCTTGTGGGAAAGCAAAAAAAAAAAAAAAAAAAAAAAAAAAAAAATCATCCCACCACCCTCTACTTCTACTTTCTCCATAGCCTTCCCGTATTTCGCGAATCTCAGTGGAATATAAAAATACATCAAAGTAGCCTCGCCACTTTGCACCACCCACCCACTGAACCACCCATTCCACCCACTTTATACGTTGTCCAAGCTGAGGAGAGAAAAAAAATGATGAGTAAAAATGCTTTTTGAGCGTTAAAATTTTAATAAGCCACTCATTTTAATTTTGATTGTTAAGCGTTGGGTGGGGGAGGGGGTCGAACAGGTGGATCGTTTAAAGGGGGGGTTGGGTGTGCCATTTTAACCCCACCACACAGACACCCCACACACACACACACACACACACACTCGACTGTCTGTGCCCGCAAAAAATGTGACGTCAAAATGTAGGCAACCTTTTTTTTTGGTTTTTTCTCAACTCCATTGAAAAAGCTCAATCAAATTGCAATTATAGATTGCAAATTAAATAAGAATCACAAAATAAATATTTAATATTAATAAAAGTAACAACAACAAAACCAGAAAGAGATCAACAAATAGCGGCCAACCAAAAAAATGTTGTAAATCAAAATGAAAACAAGTTCAGATTTAATAGAAAGAAAATAAGTGATTTGGGGATACTCTAATACTGTATTTCTGCCTTAGAAAATAATGAATTTAAAGAATTCATTAAGTTGAATTTAAATAATATTTTTTTAAGTTACCACTTTAAGACATTTTTTTATTTCGTATTGTTTTCATTATTGTTTTGAATATTTTCATTTCATTTTTAAATTAAAACAATTCTTAAATTTTTTAGTTCTCTTAAATACAATTTAAATCTGTTCTGTTAAAAAAAAAGTATTACCATTCTAAGCAATATTTTCCAATCATTGGTATTTCATTTAATATTGTATGGCTTTAGGTAAATGTTTAAATGTGTTTAATTGTAAAACATTTACCAATTCAAGCAATAATTTTCAATATTTATTATTGTTAATAATTTCATTAAATTATTTAAAATTTAAATTTTAAATCCTTTTAATAATTTGAAGTAAATTTCTTAAATTAAATGTTTAATTAAACATTTATCATCAGAAGGTGCCACCGAAATGAAAACAATATTCGTAATAAAAATGAATTGAGACTCCGGGACGTCAATATGTGGAGCACATGCCACAACGCAGGTGAAAATAACCATAAAACAACAGCAACACCAAATAAATTAATTAATAAAAAGGCAATTGGTCGACACCGGAGGTTCAGAAACCCCCCAAGCCCCCAAAAACCCCCTTCCGCCGAAAAGGAAAACAGGAAAATGGGGTTGACGCTGAGGTTTGCGAGGCAGGGGCAAGGGGGTCGAGTGCCCGGGCAAACATTTTTTATTATTTAATTTTGATTTTAAAATATTCTGTAAATATTTAATACACTTTGGCGATGGCAGCAAAACAAAAAAAATGAAGGAAAAGAATTGCCAGAAAAACCGATTCATATGCATCACGGTTTAAGGATAATTCATTTTAATAGGTTTTTAAGCCATAAGAAGATTTCCCTTTCAATTTGAATGCTATATAATATTAATAAAATAATAAGTTATTTAATAGTGTTTTTTTAAGTGCTCTCTTACTTATTCAATTATAAACAACCACAAATAATGGAATAATTAACTGGCCTTCATTTTGATGGGAACTTATATGTCCACTGATCAAATGTCAGGCACAATTGATGTCCTGTGTTGGCAATAACACACAGTTCGACAAAATGAAGTCAGGTGTAATTATTGCATATTAATGGAAATTTGTGTTAATTAAATGTGATGACCCACACAAGAACACAGTTCACCATGGCCTAAACTTTCCCGGATTCCTTCTTATACGTAAATAATATAATATATACACAGCATACTTATATGGGCGACAAGTTGGCCCCGAGGGAAATTCCCCATTGCACTTGCTTTAAAGTAATTCAATCAAATAATAACAACAAATAAGTAAAGCAAAGATGAAAAATCGAAAACTGTGATATGAATTTCCGTTCAGCTATTTTTTTTTTTGTATTTTTTGTTTGCTGACCAGCATCGTTCGTTGTCGTCAGCGCGGCTCTCTTTGCATTTCGATCAATTTTATTAATAATTCAATCAGTCAAAAAATTATTTGAACCGCCCCAAAGGAAAACAAAAAAGTTTCGACGCAGCAGCAGAGGAAAAGCGGAATGGGGGGGGGGGGGGGGGTTGAGGAGAAAGTATGGAGAAAGGAGGAAAGAGGAAAGAGGAAGTTGGCATTGGGCTCGAAGTTTTGGCTTTCTCTGGTTTCTTGGCCCACTGAGAAAATATTTTCTACAATATAATAATCTCTCAAAAAGCTTTCAGTTTTTAAAGATTAAAAAAAAAAATTGTTTATAATTTATAATGCCAGTAATATATTATATATTATTTCCAACTATTTATAGTTTTTAATAAAAATCTCAACTCTTTGGATCCACAAAAACAATGTAAATTTCAGAAAACACATTTTTCTCTGTGTGCCCATCTTCTTTCTCATTTCCCAGTGACTTTTCTACTTTGATTTGTGCAGTCGCGACTTTGGAGACAGAGAAAGAAGAAAGAGAGAGAAGCAGATGAAACGTGGAACATTGGGAGTTATTTGCACAGTAAAGAAATATAAAAAAAATATCAAAACCAGGGAAAAAAGCGAAAACCAAAAGTAAATCAAAACGACAAACAAAACAAAACGAGACGCAACGCACACCCCCTCACTATCTCTTTCTCTCTCTCTCTTTATTTTCCTGACTCTATCTCTTTCGCTCTGCTCTCCAAAATGAAATAATTCCATTAGTACAATTTCTTTTGCAAGTACAAAGAGTAAATATTGAGGAGGTCTATGAAAATGGGGGAGGAGGGGTGGACGATGGTGGGTTGGAAAGGGGGTTGGTATGCGTGTGTGGTAGGCCTAATGTCTCTATTTGTGGTTAGGATTGTGTGTGTGATGCTGACCTAGTAAGTATCTCCCCAATTAGCATTCTATGTTCCCTTAATGCATTACACACAGATTACTTAACTCATTACCACCCGATTTCTGTCCTGGTTACCCTGAATTTCCCTCTTTTATTTTCAAAGGATAAGATACGCATTTACATACTACCTTCCTTTTTACCAACTCTATTCATTTATTTCCACTTCATGACATAGGTCATTACTACTTTTTCATTAATTCATTATCACTCGAACATAACACCACATTTTAATCCCTTAAAACCTTCCTTCTTTGCCACATTAGCAGGCCAATGAACAAATCAAAACAATTGGAC